AGCTTTAATTCTAAAAAAGTGAAACTTTTATACCTAAAACAGAAATAATTTCACAGATTCCAGAAAGATAATTCATTCTGGAGTTCAGAAGAGTGAAGAAGTAGGTATCCTTTTCTTAGGTCCAACATAAGCCATTGATGTTATTACACGTTACTGATGCATTTCTGCAAGTCAAAAAACACGAAAAATTCAAGAACTTACTAGAATAGGAAGTTCGTTTCTGCTTCCAACCATATTTTATATATTTCTATTAGATAGAACATTGTGTATGTCAAGTAAAAGAAAATGAATAAAATCATATTAAGTTAAAAGGATATAGGGTCCTCTGCCAAGGTGAACCAACAGAACCTCTGCCAAGAGAACCAATTAACCCAAAGACCCTCAGGGAGCCCTGAGAAGGAGGCCTCACCTACTTCAGATATGCCAAAGAGTTCAGAGACAAAAGAGACCATTCAGATCCTATGAGTTTATGGGTTAAAAATATAGGAGAAAACTACTTCTAATATCATCCAAAATCTCATTAGGAAGAAAATTTGCTGGTTTTGACTGAGGGTGTGACTGACAGATGGCATAGTATCTCTGTAAACAGAGTGTCCAAATTGAACTATCATAGAGGTGATGAAGCCAGAATTAGACAGGCAGTCAGTCTAGGTAGGTAAGTGGAGTCAGGTCAGATCAAGGAAGCCAATTTTGAGTGAGTCCAGCAAATAGGAGACTGTTCCCAGAGGGACTGAAATGTTAAATTCCTTCAAAGCTCTTTCTCCACCCTTATCAAGAACCTCCCTCTGCTTTAAACTGTTGTTAAGGTACCAGGTCTCAGGAATTGCCCTTCCCTACAGGAAGCTATAAGGTAGTTAATTAATGTATCCTTGGCTGCTTCATCCTGTCCTTCTCCCTCAGCCCACCTGTTTTCCACCTTTTGGCCATCCCACTGAACATTTTCTAAGCCTCATCAAATGCCTAGTCATAGACAGCAAGAAGGAGAAAGATAAGGGGAAGAGGGCAGGAGAAAAAAGGAAGCCTAGCACATATAAGAAGAGCAGAATACCTCGCTCTGGCCATCTTCTCCCTCCTGGGAGAAGTCTATGTAATCCTTTTTTTAAATAAACCCTACTTTATATGCTTGCCTTGACATGCTTCTCTAATATTCAAATTTGAACATAGGAGGAAGCAGAACTCATCACTGATAACCGGCAGTGTCAGTGATACAGCTGAACTTTGGACAATTACATATGGGAATTTTATTTAAATATTGATGTAATTCGCGAATAAATAAAATGTTATTTTATTGAAAAGAGTCAAGTGATTCATTGGATTTTTCTCCTATTCATATTTTGGCATTGCCTCTAACCAGTACTGGGTAATAAGAAGCAAAAGGGATTTAAAGTTAATTTTATATAACTGTGTATTTTTATAGGGAAACCAAAGTTCTGCATATTCTTTCTGTAATATAATTTCATAGAACTCTTTCTTACTCCTAGCCTAGTCTCATCAGGAAGTTCCCATCTGCATCACCAGATTGATTTCTTCCCCTTGGGATTAAAGTTAGTTTTAATAATAGGCTCCCAGATCCCCCACAGTGACACACAGAATAAAACAAAAAGGAAAGAGGAGGTGAAATAATCTCTAGGGAAACAAAACATGTTTTCCTACTTACGTTTTCATTACACAATATGTTTGTAGGCTGAAAGAAAAACAGTGAGTGTGGAGGGACTGTTTTCCAGGTCTTTTTCTAGATAATAATATCAAACTTTGACTTTTATTTGTTAGTTTAGATATGCATAATTGATATGCATATAAATATGTTGAAATTAATTTCATAAATCCTTATTAGAAAAGTAATTGGTAATTATATCTAATATTCATTCAAATGATCCCTGAGAATGCTAAAAATTAAAACAAAATGGGTG